CATGCCATGCCTTGCCCTTCGGAGAGTCTTCCACTCTGACTTCGCCTTCCAAACACTAAATTTTATTACATTTTTGCTTCCTCTACAAACCTAATTCTCATTTATTGTTTTATTTATTGTTTTTTTTATTGTTTTATTTAAGCAGCATGAGTCAACTGTTATATTTGAGAAATGAGTATAAAGTAAATTTTCATACCTAGTAAATAGTTTTATAGTAAAACACTAAGCTATATATGGTAAATAGTTATATTTGGTAAATGAATATAAAGTAAATTTTCATACCTACTAAATAGTAAAAAATTAAGCTATGTATGGTAAATGATTATATATAGTATATGGTTATATCTGGTAGAGCTAAACCATATATATTACCTCGGACAGAATTTTGAAGTCGTCAATACAAATCTTTTAGTTAGAGTTCTCCTTGCATTTTCTCTATCATTTTCCTTCTTGTAGTTGTTGCATGTTCAAGTCAAACGGTTCAAACACACTTTTACCCCCTCAACTTTCATCCTAATTTTGGTTTACACTAATTTAACTTTTGAATTCCTAACACTTTAATCATTTAACTTTAACCCTACTTATCTTACTAAATCTCTTTAAGAGTTGAGTAATTTTTATACTTTATAAATGAATTAATTTATCAATGGTATTTATATATTAAAATCTCGTAACTAATTATTTTATTTTAATAATAATTTTGATGATTTTAGTTGCAAATGGGCATTATCTACTGTATGAAAATTGGAGGGTTATTAATATAAATATTGAATAGTATGCGGTTTATATTAGAAACAGTCATAATAGAGAAATAACTTAAAACATTAAGAATACCAATATCATAAAATATTTAATTTTTTTTATAAAATTTATTAATTAAAAAAATTAATATTATATGAAATTGTATATATTTTTAAAAGCATTATAGTTATATTGAGAAAGAACATCATTTTGGTAGTTAAATAAAAAAAGGCAGTGCAGATATTAAAAAAAGGCAGCAGTGCATATATTTTGAATGTCAGCCATGCACCGAAGTTGAAACAGTGCGTCTAGACAATAGTGTAAATATTTTATGACAAAAAAAGGTCGTACAAATGTTAAGAAAAGACAATAATGGCTTTTAACTATTTGGTTTAAATTATTTTAAATTTGATTTGTTTGGTGTTAATGAGAGTTTGTCAATTCATTGAATATACCATTATGTAAACCCACTAAAATAGGAAGATGGGAATATAATATCATGAAAATTAATTCATTTCTATTTGTGTATAAGTGAGAATGGGTAAGTAGTTCTGAAATTGATTGGGGAAGAGAACGAAACGTGGTTTATAAAGTTGTAAAAATCTCTCCTTAATAGACGTGTCTTAAAAACAGTGAGGGGAGTTTGAAATGAAAAGCTCAAATAAGAGAATATGAACCAAGAGTGGGCTTGATCTGTTACAAATGATATCATAGCTAGACACAGGGTGATGTGTAAGCGAGGAGGTTGAGCCTCGAAGAGGGTGGACACGAGGCGGTGTGCCAGCAAGGATGCTGGGCCCTAGAAGGAGTAGATTGGGGGGCCCACATCAATTGGAGAAGGGAATAAGTGCGAGCGAGGATGCTGGGGCTCGAAAGGAAAAACCCAAAAAATACAATATCGGCTAATGGTGGTTTTTTGCTGTTACGGTAGTTCTACATGGTTATTTCGTGGGTTTTGGCTATTACGGTAGTTCTACATACTGATTTCAAGACTTGAGCAACGAATCCATACCTTCTCATCGGCCTAAGAAAAACTAGATTTATAAGTGAATTATAAATAAATGATTCGCCGAGGATCAAATAAGTTAAGATATAATTACAGTAAAAAACATATAATTCTAGAAATCAATAGGCATAATTTATTTATGAGTCATTGTATAATATGTGTGTTTTTATTTTTAGTTTTGTTTATAAGATATGACCTGATTATGTTATAAAATTTGGATATTATAAATGATGCCGGAACCACCCTCCAATTTCGATATAAAATTCACGCGCGTCAATAAAAAGAAATATACGGTAAAAAAACAATTCAAAATTTAAAACTTGTCGTGGAAGAAAACAAAAAAGAATGCAGCAATGATGAATGAATTAAAAAATAGCGAGGAGTACGTGTCCTCCAAGCATACGATGACGTCGGATTGTTCCTTCGATGTGGCATCTTTTATTTATTTAATAATCCAGTGTGACTAATCCAAATACTTTAGGTCTAAATTGAATAATTTTGTATATATATTCCAGGACAATATTATACAACGCATTGGGCCACAGATAATCAACTAAACCACAAAGAAAAGGAGCTTCTTTTATTTGTACGGACTTGCTTGGATTGGTGGTAAAGATCTTAATATTAATATTTTAATTGATTTAGGCGCAGCCAATATATTTTCTGATTGTTTATCCCATTTTTAAATAAATTGTTTTCAATGTAATTCTATCAGCAATGACGTCAGTGGAATAGATCGAAAAAATTGTATTTATCAGCTATTTTTGGACATTCTTCTATGGATCTCATTTTGATTCCATTCCTAATCTATTTAATTTCGTAATTAATTTATTATACTAATTGGATTAAAAAACAAGTCCAAACTTACATTCCTTTATTATATCTATCTATTTTATAATTAGTGAAAAAAAAATCTGAAAAAGGGCCGTAACATGGGCCACGGGGTTCAAGGTGGACCGACACAGACCAAGGCCCATTTAAAATTCTTTGCAACCCAAACTCAAAACTAATGGCTTCCTTTAACCCAAATTCACTCACCAAAATATCAATTATTACCTTTATTACCCAACCTCTCTTTGTTTCCCTTTTTTTTTTTGGGTTAAAATATTGTTTTCAACCATCTATTTCATAGTTTACATAAATATTAAATTTATTCATCTAAAATCATTTTTTTTTTCCGAAATGGGTTGAATAATAATGTTTCAAATACAAAATAGGATGTGATATAAATAAGTTTAAATTTATTGATGAAAGTATAATTATTACCTAATTTAAAAAAGGGTAATATATTAAGGTGTTGCGTGACAATTTCGGTGTAAAGCTACCTGGAGATATTAAATGAAAAAGTAGTATTCGTTTTACTTTGTTTGGGTTGATTTGAAAAGGATGGAGCCAATTAGGCAAAAAAGAAAAAGAAAAAAAAAAAGTTTGAATATTAATTCCATATTGTGGAAAGTCGGGGGAAGACGCAGACTTGACTACATAATGTTTAAATTAAATGTATATTTGAATGGGTTGGTTTATTGTGATTTGGGAAGCGTGAATGGAATATTATCATTTCTCCAATTCCAACAACCGCAACTCAATTTCAGACCCCACACGAAATTAGTTCGAGACTTGATTATTATTTCTCGGAATGGGATCTTCTCCGTCTCCACCTTCTAGAATCATAATTAAAATATTAAATCAAAAATGGAAAATGGGAACAGAGTATCCAAGCGCCTGGCTTTATATATACACCCAGAGAGATGCTATGGGTCTTTGTCTTTGAGCTCCCACGCCCACGATTCCATGGCAACAATCTATCCATTCTTCGTCTTTCTCTCTTTCTTCATCTCCTCCGCCATGGCTGTCGCTATGCCCCAAGTGGAACACTCCTTTGCAAGAACGGTGGACAGAAAACTTATGGGTTACAGAAAAGAGAAGCTCAGCCACTTCCGTTTCTACTGGCACGACGTTATGAGTGGCAAAAACCCAACCTCGATCCAAGTGGTGCCCCCTGTTTCGAACATGTCGAGCACATTTTTCGGGACCGTCCAAATGATCGACAACCCATTAACAGCAACTCCAGATCCGAAGTCGAAACTATGGGGAAGAGCTCAGGGATTGTACGCATCGACTTCGCAGGAGGAGCTTGTGCTGTTAATGGCGATGAATTTGGAGTTTACGAGCGGGAAATATAAGGGGAGCTCCATCACTATATTTGGAAGAAACCAAGTTATGGCAAAAGTTAGGGAGATGCCTGTGATCGGTGGAAGTGGGCTGTTCAGATTCGCGAGAGGGTATGCGGAAGCCAGAACCAGCAAGGTAGATTTCAAGACCGGGGATGCTGTTGTTGAATATAACATTTACGTACTTCATTATTGACCCCATTTATTTTTTTTGTCTGTGTTTGCGTTTTGTTTCCTTAATTTAGTTGTTTGGAACAGAACAGAGTATGTTTTTGGTTTCAATAATTTAAATGTCTGTTTGTGTTAGTGGGTTTGGTGGGTGAAAGTGGAAGGCTGGGAGTGGGTTTCCTTTATTGTCTCATTTCAAACCTCCATTAACTTTTCTTCACATTCTACAAACTATATGAATTGCGCACCCGAGAAGGATTGGTTGAACAAACAGGCTCTACTGCAGCTACCAAGCAACACTCATAGTGATCAGGTATGGCCTTCAAATAGGAAATAAAATAGAGATTGTTAAGATTCGTGATTTCTAACTTCGACGATACAGTAAAGATACCTAAAAGATGGAACCATTAAATGATGGAAGGCCACCCTTAAGTGACAAGTCCATCTCCCGTTTTCTCTACGTTTTTAATTTAAATATCATTTTCATGTGTTTTCAAGATCTTAAAGAGGTAAAAGACCTATTTCTTTCCCTTAAAAACTATTGTATCAATTTAAATAATTGTTTTTTATTATTCTTAGAGACTTCGGGGTCACTCCAGGTTCACACGATCCACGTGTAAATATGGGATTGGTTGAATCATAATGATAGAACCGCACTAACACTTGGCACATGTACTCTTACTCAGTTTTTTTTTTTTAAATAAATTTAAATTGTTACTGATAATGAGACAAAATTGTTGGATGACAATTTTTATAGTAATAGATGAACAATATAACATAATATAATTAATGGAAAATTGATTTTTAGGATTCTTTTGATAAAATAATTTCAAAATTCAAGAAATAAAATCCTTATCATTTATGATATTTTGATGATCAAACCATAAATTTTCATGAATGACATTAAACATTTTCTTTTAGTGCGCGGGTAGCAAAGGAAAAGGAGAGATTAATTAGAACAATGAATCCGTACCTCCATGATTGGAACGTTTTCCGTCAGTCACAGTTAAAGGTATCTCATGATTCACACGTCTATATAAAAAGGCTTGTTTAGTTCATAAGTTCAGGAACCTGAAGCTCCAAAAGACCGGGTGGGAAAGAAACAGAGTTCCGGCAGGCATGGAAGGTAAAGTCAGGATTTTGAGCGTTATTTTGTTGTCGTTGGCCATCAACAATTGGGTGGTCAGGGTAATGGGAAAGAAGGAGGGATATGCAAGCGAGCTAGACCCCAGAGTGTTGAAGCTGAAGAAAGAGAAGCTCACCCATTTTCACTTGTACTGGCACGACACAGTGGGCGGGAGAAACCCATCGAGCGTGGCAGTATTGCCATCGCTGAAGAACGGGTCGACGTTGGGGCTGATGCACATGTTCGACAACCCCTTAAGCGTCGGGCCTGACCTTAAGAAGTCGGAGCTGGTTGGGAGGTCGCAAGGAATTTATGCTTCTACTGCACTACACCAGGTGGGGCTTCTCATGGCCATGAATTTCGCTTTCACTCACGGTAAATACAACGGCAGCAGCATCACCATCTTGGGCCGCAACGCCATCCTCCAGAGGGTTCGTGAATTGCCCATCATCGGTGGCAGTGGCCGCTTCCGCTTCGCCAGAGGCTATGCTCTTGCCAAAACTTACTATTTCAACCCCGCCACTTTTGATGCCATCGTCCAGTACGATGTTTATGTCTTGCATTATTGATTTCTTGTCATTATTCTCCATCTCTGCTTTAATCTTATCACTAAAAACATTAGTGTCACGTTGTCTGTAATTAAATTAATAAATGTTTTCTTAATAAGACCCTAACTGTGCTTTGGCTTTACCATTCATAGGAACCACTCATTTCTTATTCCAATTCACGTGGATGGACCCATCCACTTTATTCAACATCTCTTTCTATTCACATGCTCTGTACCTTTGTTTTTCTCATCTGTAGTCCTTTCTGGGTTCAGTACAATTGGAGTCTTATATTAACTAATTACAGAAAGATCATTTCTCTATAAGCAAGTGACGTATTATTCAATCAAATACTAACCATAAATGCAGTCACTATAGGAAGCATGATATCAGCCATGACGTTTGCTTCATAGACTGGAACTCTTTTTCAGTTAGAATACATTAATGAGGGTGATCGGAAATTGGTAATTATAATTTAAAAAGCAGACGTTTTGGAATTTTAGACGCTAATAAACAAAACACCGTTTTGGTCATCACCAAATTCATCGCATTCGTATATCGCTGGCATAGATCTGACCATTGATAATCAGTCAAACATGTCCTGCCCATTCTCCATTTTACACCTCCTGCCATTATTCGTATATACAATATATATATATACACTTCCAGTTCGAGGTTCCTCATTCTTCAAGCTACGAATTAAGGTGAAAAAACAATCTTCTGGGTAGCGCCGGCAGCCATGGCATCCAAATTCGCCTCCTTGGGTTTTCTTTTGTTGTCCATGGCCATAATTTGTTCGGCCATGGCGAAGGAGTACTCATTCGCCAGCAACCTGGACCCCAAAGTGCTGAGGCTGAAGAAAGAGAAGCTGACCCATTTTCATATGTACTGGCACGACGTCGTGGGCGGGACCAAGCCCACCAGCGTCGCAGTATTGCCAGGGCTAAGCAACAGCACGTTGTTCGGGCTGGTCAACATGTTCGACAACCCGTTAACTGTCGGCCCTGACCCCAAATCCCAGCTCGTGGGGAAGTCACAAGGCCTGTACGCCTCCGCTGCACAGCAGGAAATCGGGCTTTTGATGGCCATGAACTTCGCCTTCACTTACGGTAAATACAACGGCAGCTCCATCACCATCCTCGGTCGGAATCCCATTCTCAACACCGTACGAGAAATGCCGGTGGTCGGAGGATCCGGCCGCTTCCGTTTCGCCAGAGGCTATGCTGAGGCCAGAACTCACTTTTTCAACGCCACCTCATTGGATGCCATTGTTGAATATAATATTTATGTCTTGCATTATTGATCCATATGTCAACTTCCCATGTAATTGCTTTATTTTTCTTTTCCATCTCAATAACGTTACTGCGTGATTGTCGTTATATGATTATTTTTAATTTTCTGAATTGAGGCTTTGATATTTGAAGTCCTTACCTGATGCGTCACGTCGGCTGAGCTTATTCTAATTCCTTCTACTTTTCAAATCAACCCCAAGAAGCTTCAAACACGTTATATACCCGCTAACTACCTTGCTTATTATTTGTTATTTTTCTTGAATAAAAACTTTAAAATAGGTTATCCTCAAATACTTCCAAATTCACGGAAGAAAAGATGTTTATTAAATTTGTTTTGAATTTAAATACTTTATTCTAGTGTCAATAAATCTGATCTAGCTTTGTCATGTCTAAGTTGTGGATATACTTTGGCATGAGAGGGGTAAGCTTTTTGCCTGTCTAAGTAAGTTGTGGAATAAAGCTACGTAGCAAAAGATGAAGACCGACCACACTTCTTTTTTGGGCTTCTTTTTTTCATTTATATGCTCAAATATATTCTTGTCTGTGTATAAATAAAAATGGGAGCAGGCAATGAAGGACACAAGACACACCAGTGACATATAATATGGCGAGATACTACTACTACCACCGGTACCCTTACTTGGAGTACTTGACGTTGCCTCCTCTGCAGCTGTGCGTGTTCGGTGGGATCCTGCTGCTGGTGATGGCCTTCTCGTGGTATATTTTCTACGACTCCTTTCTTGAGGACATCATCTTCCAACTCAAGCTCTTCCTTCTCACCGTGCCCTTGCTTTTGCTGCTGCTCCTCCACCTGCTCTCCCTCGGCCTCCCTTTTCTCGTCCCCTTGCCGGAGCAGAATTCCCTCCACCGCGCCGGCGGCTCACCCTGGGGGGTCGCCATTCTCCTCGTCTTCCTTCTCTACGTCATCTCTCACCAGTCCCATTACCACCGACGCTGGTTCCCTTTCGGGTATAGATAAAACCACAACATCCATCCATCCATCCATCCATCCATCTTTAAAATTGCTTATTATCATCATGTACCCATAAACATATTTTGTATTCCATTTTCTTCCGCTCATCTTTTGCTATATGTATCAATCATGTTATTACAATTATTATGTTAGAGCAAACAAACCTAAAAATTCAGATCCAAGTATAATTTTTTATTTTTTAAACTTGTGAGGACAAAGTATTCATGAGCTCTTCAACATGCACTGTGCTTTTAGAATCTAATTCATTACTCGTTGTAGTGGAAACGCGGTTGGAAATTTTATGTATAATGTTTGAAGGCCTCCATCCACTTTTGAAGGTTCCATTCTTTAGCTGAGTGAAAGGTGTATGGATTCTTTGTTCTCGGGCATTTTGTGCTCGCAGAAGCAAACAAAATTTAAGAAAAAGAAGAATCCCAATTTTTAATCTACAAAACTATCCGTATTCGTTTTGCAACGCTGCCCCTTGGAATATTTGATTAGTACCTATCAATTTTGAATGTCTCACTCAGGCTTGTCTCAGCCTCACTCGAATGTGCTGTCTATGCCACGTGCTCATTCTAAACTCGTTTGCTATGCTACATGCTTGAGGCTTTAATATCGTGACGTTGTTGTTTGTCATCGATTCTAGTATGTGCCGTAAACAAGCTTTATCCATTTAAACGACCAAACTCTTGCAACTACAGGTATTGATTGTAAAATGGGGATTAAAAGTAAGATTTATAATGTTAAAAGAAGTATAGATCTTTTTCATTTGTTTGAACAAAAGATAGAGAGATTCAATTATGCAGTAATGTATGGTTGAAGTTGAAAGAGAAATCGAAAATAAAAGTGATGTATTCTCCGTTTTTAAGTGAAATTAAGTATAATATTATATTTTTTAGTGTCATCTAGCGCAAGACAGACCCAAATCGAATTTAGAGGTTTGGTGGACCGGTTCAAAGTCTACCCAATGGTATAATTGATGCATCGAACAAGCCCAATTCCAACTTTACCTACTTAAATTGGGACTCGAATTAACATGTCATTTGAAATCTTAATTATCTAAAAATATAAATATGGTAAATATCTATTTAATTCGAATATAATTTAAAGGACTATATATATAAAAAATATAGATATCTAATGGTTGAGGGCCAATTTATGTGTGAAAACGAGTAAAAGTAAATATAGTAAGTAAATATATTAGTTTTGGATAAAAACGTAAAAAATGGTTCGTGAAAATATAAGATATTACAAATAAATGAGAAATGAAAAAGTATATCCGGAAGATCACGGTTACGCGTTATACAGACATATAAACACATGATTTGATGAGTCAATCGGGTTCGCACTCGCATTCGCTATTTTGTTTCCACGTCATCTTACAGTTGAGACGACGAAGAGTCCTTCTTTTTCCTTGCATTTCTGTCAAACCCTAACCCCAATTTCAAGCCCCCTCAACCTCAAGATCCATTTTCCTTATCAGAAATCAGTCTCACGCACTCACTCATCGTTGTTCCGATTGTCGATTGGAATCCCTGTTTAGTTTCCTGCGAGTTTCCTCTGTTTCTCCTCCCCCGCAAAATTCGGCCATGTCTACGCTACCGGAGTTTAGTTGAATCGAAGATAATGATCATATTTTTGGCGTTGTTTCGCACCTACTTTTTTATGGGTTTGAACAATGCCGGTGCTTCGCAGAGGTGTGCGCAGAGGCCGCGGTAGGATCGTTCAGAAGCACTTCGAAGAGCCTCCGCCGGCTGGAGCTTACGTAAAAACTCGAGCTGCGGTCGCCAGAGAAGCTGCGGAGGCGAGACCGAGGCCAAGAACGAGGTTGGCAATCAAAGAATTAAACAAGAATCAGGAGGAAGAGGTGATTGTTATATCTGAGAGGGATACTGATTTGGAGGACAAAAAAGTGCAAGGGCTCGAGGTAGAAGAAGACAAGGCCGCTATGGGTGATGAAAGTGGCGGCTTGAGTGCTAATAAGGCTGCTGGCATAGAGGAAGAGGGTAGCTCAGCGCCTTTTCCGGAAAAGGTACATTTCATTTTGAAATACGCTCTACATTAGTTTGGTTGTTCTCATTGTTTCCTCTTTTTAATTTGCGATTTTTTGGTTTGGGCTAACGGCTTTTAGGTTGATTAGGTTGTGTAACCTTGTAATTGCAAGAAATGAGCGTCTAACTTGCATTTAATTTCGGGCGACGGTGTTTTTTGTAAGTTTTCTTTCAGCGATCGTAGCAGTGTAGCCTGCTCACTTGTGTTATTATGGGACAATCGTTTGCCGAACAACATTTAGTATCGAATGTTCAAATTTAACAGTTCAGTTGACTGTCAAAGTTTAACTTCCGAGTCATCTGCATTCGCTTCTTCACTCTCCGAGCTAACATATCATGGTTTACTCTAGAAGGATCTTTCCACAGTAATTTTAAGCTCTTATTGATCTCTAGTTGAATAGTTGCATAATGTCTATTGAGCTTACTTGTAAACGGTTACTGAATTTTTTCTCGTATAGAATTAAAATAAGAAAGATGCCTATTTTCGGCTTATCTACTTTTCTGAACTTCTAAAATCTTGTGTTATTGGGCTTGGCATGTCTGGGAAGTACTTTGAGTGAATTACCGTCTTCAGAATTGCTGTTTCACTGTAAGTTTATTTATGTTTTGTGGCCTGATTCAAGGTCCAAGTAGGAGGGTCTCCAGTGTATAAAATAGAGAGGAAACTGGGCAAAGGTGGATTTGGGCAAGTATTTGTTGGTCGTCGGCTTACAGGTGGAAATGATCGTGCAACAGGGGCTGCAGCTACCGAGGTAAACATCTTGGCAGTAGTTTTTATTAATATATGCAAATGAAATAAATTCTAATTTGTCAGTATCCATGTATCATCATATTCTTACCTTATATTGATTTATTTTATTTTCAGGTTGCTCTTAAATTTGAACACAGAAA